TGATTGAGTCTATCATCGGTTTTAAATTAGAGTTTCATAAGTATATATGTATTCCGGCTTCAAAATGATTTTCCTTACATATCTACCTATATTGTACTTATCGCGTTGGAGTGAGTCACCAGCATTATTCGCTGAACAGATATATTTGGCTTTCAGGCACAGATGAGTAGCTCCGGAGCGCTCTAGTCGGACCCGTGGACATAGCTAGAATAGTTCTATTAGCGGCCTGCGTGCCTTGAGATTGTACTAGATATTGAATTGGGAATCTCTTATGATTGGATAGTTTAGCCTGTACATCTGAGTTCTCTAGCTCAGATGTGGCATAGCACCCCGACATTTATGTTTAAGTTATGCTCTGTTTGGGATTTAATAATAGAATTGCCTTTACTTCATGAGCCTTAAAAGTTTTAAAATTTAGGGGTGTTACAACTGTGCCCTTCTTTGAGGTCATGAAAAAGAAAGAAGGCTTCGTGTGGACCGCCGAGTGCCAGCACTCCTTTGAAGAATTGAAAAGGTATCTCTCCACACCTCCGGTGCTATCCACCCCCCAGGTCGGCAAGCCTTTGTATCTATACTTGGCAGCGTCACCAAAGGTTGTGAGTTCAGTGCTCGTCCGCGAAGAAGAGCGGACCCAGTACCAGGTCTATTATGTGAGCCGTTCCTTAAAGTCGGCTGAGACGTGATACACGTCGTTGGAAAAGATAATATACGCTTTGGTGATAACGGTGCGAAAGTTGGCACCTTAATTATTTCCAAGCCCATACCGTCCGGGTCCTGACAGACCAACCTCTGGGAAGTGTGTTACGTAATCCCACGTCGTCCGGGCGACTCGTCAAATGGGCGATAGAGCTGACCCAATACGGGATTGAGTATCAGCCCCGCCCTTCGATCAAGGGGCAAGCATTGGCCGACTTCTTAGTCGAGTGTACAGCGAGAGAAGACGACAAGACCTCGACCTCAGAAGAAAGCCCAGGCGAGTGGTGGGAGATGCACGCTGACGGAGTAGCAAGCCGCCAGCATGCTGATCACACTGGAAGGGTTTCGACTCTACTATGCTCTAACTTACCTATTTCAAACATCCAACAATGAGGCAGAATACGAGGCAGTGCTGGGAGGTCTACGGTTCGCTAAAACGTTGGGAGTAGACCACTTACGAATCAAGACGGAATCGCGCCTTGTAGTAGAGCAAGTGTCCGGGACCTGCGAGGCTAAAAGCGCTCGGATGGCGCAATACAAGGAAAAAACTGTGGAATTGCTGAAAGGATTCGTCGCTCACGAGATAGAGTACATTTCCCGGGCTGACAACACCGATGCCGACATCCTATCAAAGATCGCCTTGGAGGGGGTGCCGGATCATCTTTTAAGGATTTGTCAGAAGGAAGAACTGCTCCAACCTAGCATCGAAGAAACGATTGCAGAGATTCAGCAGGTGACGACCCCGGAATGGGACCGTGACGAGAACCCAGAGATGTTTTGGGTAGAAGATATTCGGTGTTACAAGGAAGAAGAAAAGCTGCCAGCCGACCCTGTGGTCGCTGCCCGAGTTTGCCGTAAGGCTCCCTCATTCGAAATCATAGATGGACAGCTATATAAACGGTCGTTTGGGGGACCCCTCCTTAAATGTCTACTCAGAACAGAGGCGAGAAAGATAATGGACGAGGCTCACGGTGGAATATGTGCGGCCCACCAGGGTGCCCACACCCTCGCCCGGAAGTTAGTCGTCCAATGCTATTATTGGCCTACCATGATGAGAGATTGTATTGAGTGGATAGCCAAATGCGTAGTGTGCCAAGCATTCACCCGGAAGGACACTCGGCTAGCCACCTTTTACACACCGGTTACCACGGCCATCCCATTCGCAAAATGGGGAGTCGACCTACTGGGCCCTCTACCGATCGCCCTGGGGCATTTGAAATTTTGTGTGGTGGCCATTGACTACTTCACTAAGTGGATCGAGGCAGAGCCTCTGGTAACCATCACTGAGTATCAATGCCGGCGCTTTTTGTGGAAGAAGGTGATTTGTCGCTTCGGGCTACCTGAACACATAGTCAGTGACAACGGCCGATAGTTCGATTGCCGACCCTTCGCGGATTTCTGCCAACGACATAACATACGGCACACTAAGGTGTCGGTCGCTTATCCCCAGGCTAATGGACAGGTTGAAAATGTAAATCGTACAATCGTGGACGGTATTCGCAAAAAGTTAGAAGACGTTGGAGGAAATTGGGCCGATGAGCTAGACCGGATCCTGTGGGCGTATCGAACTACTCAGAGGCGAGCAACCGGTGAAAGTTCGTTCTCCTTAGCATACGGCTTCGAAGCTAAAGTACCCGTAGAAGTCGTCGAGCCTACCCTTAGGGTCCGTAACTATACTGATGAAGGAAACGAGGAAAGCCTCAGGATCGAAAAGAATTTCTTGGAGGAGCAAAGGGAATCTGCGCATGCTCGCATGGTGGAATACCAGCAGGTTGTCAAGAGGTATCAGGACAAGAGAATCTGACCGCGAGCTTTCCAAGTGGGAGACCTTGTGCTGTGCGACAGACAAGCCAGCCGACCCACGGAAGGAGGTAAGTTCACAGTGAAATGGGAAGGACCTTACCGGATAGCCGCTGTGGTCTAAGCCGGCACCTACAAATTGGAAACCTTGGATGGAGAGCCTATCGATCGGATCTGAAATGTAATCCATCTAAAGAAGTACTATCAGTAAAGGTCAGCCCCGTGTACTTGCTTGAACGCAACTTTGAATAAATATTTATCATTTCCTGTATCCCGAAAACTGTTTCTGAGATAGAAAAGCCTAACGGGTCGCCTCGACTGAGGGACTCGGCATGAAAAGAGAGAAACGACTGGGCACTGACCCTAAACTGTTTCTGAGATAGGAAAAGCCTAATGGGTCGCCTCGACTGAGGGACTTGGCAAGAAGAGAAAGAAACAAGGGTACTGACCCTTAGACGTTTCTGAGAAAAAACCTACAGGGGTCGCCTCGACTGAGGGACTCGGCAAGAAAAGAGAGAAACGACGGGGCACTGACTCTAAACTATTTCTAAGATAGAAAAAGCCTAATGGGTCGCCTCGACTGAGGGACTCGACAAGAAGAGAAGGAAACAAGGGCGCTGACCCTTAGACGTTTATGAGAAAAAGCCTATAGGGGTCGCCTTGACTGAGGGACTCAGCAAGAAAAGAGAGAAACGACGGGGCACTGACCCTAAACTGTTTCTGAGATAGAAAAAGCCAAATGGGTTGCCTCGACTGAGGGACTCGGCAAGAAGAGAAGGAAACAAGGGCACTGACCATTAGACGTTTCTGAGAAAAAACCTAATGGGTCACCTCGACTGAGGGACACAACGAGAAGAGAAGGAAACAAGGGCGTTGACCCTTAGACGTTTCTTAGAAGGAACAAAAGTTGTTACTAGGAGTCGCCTCGACCGAGGGACTCGGCGAAAGGAGACAAGGGCATCAATACAAAGGACAGAGGTCATTAACGAGAGTCGCCTCGACTGAGGGACTCGGCGAGAAAAGCCCCAAGGCTCGGAAAATAAAAAGACTGCGTAAATCGAAAAGAAGATGCGAAATATAGAGAAATGCAAAAGGGATGTTTTTTCATTCATAAAGGTCCAAAGGGAGGACCGGCCCTTACAAAAAGATGAAATCCTAAAAGTCTAAGCTACAGGAGGAGGTACAGCAGCTTCAACTTCCTCAACCTGTTCCTCTGCCGTTGGTCCAGCTGAAGGAACAGGCGAAGGGTCTTCTGCTTGTGGAGGTGCGTCAGTCTGCACAGACAAGTCCGCCGTCGGCAAGACTGGAGGAGAGGGAGAGACAGTTGTGATAGCAGCCCCGGGCACCGGCAACAGCTCGAGCACCGGCTTGAGGCCCCAGCCCTTATGAGTGAAAGAAGGATCGCGGGCCAGCAGAAGAGCGTACATCTCCAATTGTGCTTCACGGTAGCCCAAGCAGATAGTCGTCGCCCTCCGAAGTCGCCAGCCATTCTTTCGCCAACTCCTCTTGGCGGCTAGCTCACGTCCGCCTCGAAGGTTGTCGACCCCTTATACTCGGTGACTGCAGTGGCGGCCTAGTTGTAACACCCCATGTTACGGACTCCAAACCAATCAATTATTTAATTACTTACCCTAAAAAGAGAATTAAATTCCATTAATTAATTAGGAAGAGTCCACCGTATACCATGGACCCTTATTCTCAAAACCAATCCCTTAATCCTATAAGAAATAGAATTAGCAAACCCATACCATTCAGACCCTAATTAGGACTCTTAGATATATAAATAGGGAAAAAGGAGGCACCTAGAAGTCACGCCACAATAGATATCACGCACAAGAAGTCCCAAGAATTCTCTTATCACCAACGTAGGAGAAATCAAGAAGAAAAGATCTTAGAGAAAGAACCTAAATAGCCAAGGAATCTAATTAAGGCTAAGAGGTAACCCATGTCTCAACAAAACCTAGTTTCTTTGCTATAATCATCTTCTTTGGCTTCTTCTCTATTGCTTGAGTCTTGATAAAATCTTTTATAATGATGATATGATCTTGATAATTGATGAGATGATCTTATGTGTTGATCTTGATAATCTTGATGATTATAAGAGGATCTTGGTGATTGTGTGATGTTCTTGATTTTAAAAGATAAACTATGATTTTGATGATTTGAACATGATTAGAGCCCTAGGTTAAATTGGGGATTTCGTATCGTGATATTCTTGATATAATTGGGTGGGATTCCACATGTTCGGGTGTTATTTATGTTTACAAGTCATGTTTGGATATGTTCAATATGATTCTTGGTTTTGATCCATTATTTGACTACGTGGTGTCGTCGTTTGTGTTTAAAAGTGTCTATACATGATTTCGGGTTCCATGAAAGATCTCGGGACCAAAATATTGAAAAAGAGTCAGTGGGGGGTAGGTGGGGGTAGGGGGACCCGCCACCTACCCGCTGCACAGATTAGCGTCACCGGCAGCAGGCAGACGCCTTCCCGCCGGGCACCCGCTGCCCGAAGACTTGCCGCCGGCGGGTGGACCACCCGCTGGCTGCCCGCTGGATTTTTCCCCACCTTTGGATGTTGGCTTCCGTGTTTGATTTTCCCCGACCCTCGTGGTGTCCCATCGGACTCCGTTTATTGTGCCTAAGTCTAGTTTGATGTTTCGGGTACCGTTCGTAGGATAAAAGAGTCTTCTGTATTGTATGCTAGTTGAATTGGTACCCCGTTGACCTAGGTGAAAGATGCATGGACCCCTTAGGATTATTCCTAGTATGTGGATGACCACGCATAGGTTTCATTATACGTCTTCTCCGCTCTCCCATTGTGTTAATATGAATTGCCTGTGCTTGCTACGTGTTATATGTGCATGACTCCCCAATATTGGCTGTGGTCAAATTAGTTTTACATGGTCTACAGTCCACAAAGAGGGCCACAGTCCATCGATTGAGCTCGTCAACGGTGTGTAGGGCCGTTGTCCGCCGCTGAGCTCGTCAGCGGTCTTACAGGGGCTGCGGTCCACCGATTGAGCTCGTCAACGGTGTGTAGGGCCGTGGTCCGCCGTTGAGCTCGTCAACGGTCTAATGAGCTACGGTTCATCGGTTGGCTGCGGTCAATCCCTTCATGCTGCGGTATGATGCAGGGTGCTGCGGGGCCGTGTTAGCGCTATATGCGCTAACCCTCATGTATGGGCATGCGACTGGTCCTGTGGCGCCACCAAAGTGTGCTTATATGATAAAGATGATTGATTGAAAGATGACATGAATGAAGTGAAATTAACCTGTGACCTTAAGATGCATAATGATATCTTTATTTGCTTGATCATAAATGTTAAATGTGCTTATCCCTATCTGTCGAGTCTATTCCTGGTTTTAACGCTAGAGTCTCCTAAGTATATATCTTCCTACTTCAAAATCGTTTTCCTATATATATATATATATATATATATATATATATATATATATATATATATATATATATATATATATATATATATATATATATATATATATATATATATATATACCTATATCGTATTTTAACGCTTTGGAGTGTGTTACCAGCATCATTCGCTGAACAGATATATTTGGCTTTTAGCACAGATGATCAGCTACCTGGGCACGCTAGAGGACCTCGGCTTAAATAGATTAGTCTTTCTTTCCGGCCTACGTGCCTTGATGATGTAATGACTATGTTTAAAGATAATTAGTTAGTACAGCCTGTACATCTGAGTTCTCCAGCTCAAATGTGGCATAACACCCCAGACCCTTATGTTCAAAATGCTCTATTTTGGAGTATATTAATAGAATTGCTTTCATATTATAAGATTGAAAAGTTTTAAAAATTTCGGGGTGTTACAGATGGTATCAGAGCCTAAGTTTGACCCTAGGATAAGACTCTTAAGACTAGACTTTAGAACATTAGGCTTAAACTCTAGGTATTGAGGAACATAGGATTCAGGAATCTTAGGACGCTCGGTGAGATTGTGAGCCCACCTAACCTTCCCCTCACTCTATTCTACACTTAATTTAAAGAGCTCCCCCTACACTTATAGCATCAATGTAAGGATGCAACTTAAAAATAATATCGGCCTAAACCACCGGGATGGCACCAACAAGGAAATAGGAAAACGCACCGGGACTCTCCACACATGGATCCTTGATTCAAAATCTGCAGCACCTGGCCCAAGTTGCTCAAACACTGAGCAACACGATCCTCCAACCACCACCCCCAAGTAGAAACTCAGAAGTCAGCCACCAAATCTCAGAACATCGGCCGCCTACCTTCTCAGGAGACAAAGAGACCATAATTCTCGAAGAATGGATCCGAACTTTTGACAAAATATTCAAAATAGTAGAGTGCCCGGAGGACCACCGAATAGAAACCGCTTCCTTCTATTTCAAACACGAAGCTGACCTCTGGTGGGTCCACGAGGGACCTAATTATAAGCAAAGACCAGGGTTCAACTGGGAGGCCCTAAAAGCACAATTACGGGAACGGTTCTACCCAAGTCACATAAGGGCAGCCATATACGAAGAGTTCCTCCACCTAAAACAAGGAACAAACCCAATCGCAGAATATTACCAACAGTTCCTCAAACTAGCTTGCCTCACACCCGAGCTAGTACCTACAGAGTCAACCAAGATCGAGAAATTTATGACAGGCCTCAACCTCGAAAGCCAGAAGGCCCTAACACTACGCAAACCAAAGACTCTCGAGGAAGCCTATGCCAAGGCATCCCAACTACAACAAATACCGGACAGCCCACAGGAAACACACCGGGGACACAAAAGAAAAGTCGAAGAAAATCACACAACCCCCCTTAGAAAACCAAAGATTTCCAGGGCCACCTCGCCACACAAAGCCATAACACCGGCTCCCACAAGGAAAATAGGGAACACTCAAGGAAGGATCCTTACCATAAGCAAAGCCAGAATCGGAGATAGCAACATAGTCTCCGGAACCTTCCTAGTACACGCCACCCCTGCCACCGTACTATTTGACTCAGG